ACACTCACCTTTCCTGGCTCCATCCCCGCCTCTTCGACCTGTTTGTTTCCTCTCCACCTATCCTCTCCTCTATCCCTCTTCTATCCGCCTCCCACTCTCTCCCTATTTATTTCAAAACCCCCTTCCCCTCCCCCTTTTCTGATGAAGGGTCTAGGCCCGAAACGTCAGCCTCTCTGCTCCTATGATGCTGCTTGGCCTGCTGTGTTCATCCAGCCCTGCACCTTGTTGTCTCGGATTCTCCAGCATCTGCAGTTCCTACTATCTCTGATACATTTAAGGGGATTGCTTGTATATTGACCTTGTGCAGCAAAGATTCACTAGACTGTTTCCAGGACTTCAAGGATAAAATTATGAAGAGAGACTACTTTCCATAGACTATAGAGGGTAGGGAGTAATTTAGTTGAAACATTTAAGATTTTGAAAAAAAATCTGATGGAACTGATAATTGGATATATATTGCTAGTATGGGAGCTGAGAAAAAGGGGCTATACATTTAAATCAAAGCCATGCTACTTGTGGAGAGAAGTTAGAAAACATGTTCACATGAATAGTGGTAGAAATGTGTAACTTTCTGCCACAAAAATAAATAAATGTGAGCTCAATTAATGATTTTAAATGTCAGATTGATTGATTGGTTTCTGCTTGACTAGGACAAGGGTTACATGGCAGGTAGATAGGTTTAGGATAGAGATCAGCCATAATCTAACTGAATGGCTAAAGGGGCTGAAAGACCTATTCCTGTGTGTTCAAGTCCCAGATGGCGACTGGCTGAATTAAGAGTGAACGTCAACATTTGCATAAATGAATCTGACATCCGTAGAATCATTCATTTTTGTGGGTAGTTTGATCAATGCTGTGTTTGTCTACAGTTTTTGACGATGGCGATGAGAGAACTTTGAGACGGACATCGCTCTGCTTGAAAGGGGAAAGACACTTTGCAGAGAGTGAGGTTAGTGGAGGAATTAAGCATTACCCATGGCCAACTTTATCCTGTGTTTTCCACGGATACAATAACCAGTGTTTTGCTTAATGTTTTAGACACTTGACCAGTTGCCTCTTACTAATCCAGAACATTTTGGCACCCCTGTCATCGGAAAGAAATCTAACCGGGGGAGAAGGTCCAATCCACTGTGAGTAATAATTTATGATGCACTTCTCTCACAAGATATTGCAACCTTTTTTAAGAGTGAATTTTCATGTGTATATTTAAATTTCTATACATCTCTACAAATTATTTAGCCTAATCTGGATGAAAAGTTTTAGTTTACCTGTTACAAGAGGATTTACTTAATATTAGAATTATTTTCGCTAGAGTTAAGAGATAATCTTTTCCATTGTTGCCCAAAGCTTACATTTTTTAAAATAAATTTTTCTCACCGCTGAAGTATTTAGTGCATTTTTTCACCAGATCTCTCAAATGTGGAAATGACTATGCATATAATCAAACCATTTGGGCCAAGTACAAGACCAACTTTATATAGATGCCTCAAATAGTGATTCAATTTTTCTAAACTTATTATCAATTCAAAAATAGTACAGCAATGAATTTATCCTACTAACACTTCCCCATCATAAATTCCTGAGCGCTCACTTAGATGAATAGTTTGTTACTTGTCAAGATAATTGCACTCTCCCGACAACAGGGGCACTGCAAGGCCACCACCTTTACAAGTGTAATAGTATTTACATCAAAGGAGAGTACACATTTAAAGTTTACTTCCACTACATGCTTGGATAGTACAGCAGTGAATGAAGATATGCAAACGTGTCAAAGACTGATTCAGGTCTAAAGCTTAATACTGTATCAGCATCAGGTTCAGTATAAAGGAAGTAAGTCCTCCATTATGTAGCACATTTAACTACAACTAGATGTCCCAAAGGGCTTTGAACCACTGAAGTACTTTCTTTCAGATTTAGTCACTGTTGTATTACAGGAAAAGCGGCAGCCAGATTGCATGTAGGAAACTCCTGTCAATCGGATTGACTCAACAACCTGATGCTGTATTAATGTTGTTAGGTGGAGATAAATATAGGCCAGGACACGAGGGATAACTCCTGCCTTTTCTGTGAAATAGTGCCGTGGGGGTCTTATGTTCATCTGGGAGGACAAGCAGGGCTTCATTTTAATGTTGCATCTGCAAGATAGCACCTCCAACAGCGCAGCACTTCCTCAGTTCTGCTGTGGGATGTCAGAATTTTTAAATTCATTCCCGGGATGTGGACATTGCTGAATGGGCCAGAATTTTATTGACCATCCTAATTATACAGCAGGTAGTGAAGTGTCAGCTCAAATCTGCTCTTAATACTCTGTGTGGCCTAAGTAGGGTTTTGTCTAACTGCAGCATAACATCTGCACTTCTATACTCCAGCCTAATAGATATGAAGGCCAGCATTTCATTAGCTGCCTTGACTAATTTCTGCACTTGCTCATAGCATTTTAAAAAGCTATGCACCTGAAACCCCAAATGTAATGTCATCATCGAGTCGTTAATGAATATTGTGAATAATTCAGGCACTAACACAGATCCCTCCAGAACACCACTAATCACGTACTGTCTATTTGAGTACTTACCCATTATTCCAATTCTGTGTTTGTTGCCAGTCAACCAATTCCTCAGTTCCATGCGTTTCTACCTTTAGCTAACAGTGTCTTGTGTGGAACTTTATCAAAAGCCTTCTGGAAGTCCACATAAACAACATCCATTGACTTAACTCTTCCATTACCTTTGTTATCTCCCTCAACAATTGACAGTGGTTTCATGGTTATCATCAGACACTTAATTCCAGACTTTTTTAATTGAATTCAGTTTCCAACATCTGCTGTAGTAGGGTTCAAGCTCACGTCCCCAGAACATTCCACTTAGTCTCTGGATTTATAGGCTATTGTGGTCAGTTGACTCGCCGAGCTGGTTCATTGTTCCGCAGACGTTTCATTACACTGCTGGGTATCATCATCACTGCAGCCTCCGATGAAGCGCTGTTGTGTTTTCCTGCCTGTCATTTAAACTCTGATGTCCATTGAGCTGGATTACCTCACTTCCGGTTTCCCTTCGCAATGGAATGTATACGGGGTCTAGCTCTGTGTTTATTGATGGCTTTCCTAGTGGAGTACCAGGCTTCTCGGAATTCCCATGCTTGTCTCTGCTTTGCCTGTCCCAGGATACTGGTGTTGTCCCAGTCGAATTGGTTGTTCTTGTTATCCATGTGGATGGAGATGAGTGAGCACTGGTCGTGTCTTTTTGTTGCCAGTTGATGTTCGTGTACCCTTGTGCTGTGTCCAATGCAGTGTTTGTCGCAGTCTTTGCAGGGAATGTTGCATATGACATTGGTCCTATCCATAGTGGGCAGTGGGTCTTTGGTCCGGGTGAACAGTTGACGTAGGGTTGATGTGGATTTGTGTGCTACTCTGATGCCCAGTGGTTGTAGGAGTCTTGTGGTCAGTTCAGATGTGTTCCTGATGTAAGGTAGCGTGATGAGTGTGTCGGGGCGTGTCGTATCTTCCTGGTGTCGTTCGTGTGAAAGGCATCTTCTGACCCAGTTTTTCGGATATCTGTTGTCTTTGAATACTTGGAAGAGGTACTCTTCTTCTCCTTGGCGTAGCTCTGTGCTGCTGCAGTGTGTTGTTGCCCATTTAAATAATGTTCTCACACAACTTCGTTTGTGTGTGTTAGGGTGGTTGCTGTTGAAATTCAGTACTTGATCAGTGTGTGTGGCTTTCCTGTGTACCTTTGTTACCATTTCCCCATTGGTCCTGCGTTCCACCATGACGTCCGGGAATGGGAGCTGTTTGTTCTTCTCCTCTGATGAATCTGATCCCAGTGAGGGTGTTGTTTATTAGTTCGTGTGTCTCCTCTAGTTTGGTCTGTTTAATAATGATGAAGATGTCGTCCACGTAGTGTATCCGTAGTTTTGGTTGGATTAGCAGAAGGGCCATACTTTCAAGTCTCTGCATTACTGCTTCAGCTATTAGTGCAGAGATAGGTGATCCCATGGGTATCCCGTTGATCTGTTCATATATTTGGCCGTTAAAGGTAAAAGCAGCACAGAACTACACCAAAGAGAAGAAGAGTACCTCTTCCAAGAATTCAAAGACAATGGATACCGGAAAAACTGGGTCAGAAGATGCCTATCACACAAACCACACCAGGAAGATACTACACGCCCCAACACACTCATCACCCTACCTTACATCAGAACACATCGGAACTGACCACAAGGCTCCTACAACCACTGGGCATCAGAGTAGCGCACAAACCCGCATCAACCCTACGCCAACTGCTCACGCGGACCAAAGACCCACTGCCCACTATGGACAGGACCAATGTCATATACAAGATTCCCTGCAAAGACTGCAACAAACACTACATTGGACAAACAGGAAGGAAATTAACCACAAGGATACACGATCATCAATTGACTACAAAAAGACACGACCAATATTCACTCATCTCTATCCACATGGATAACAAGAACCACCAATTCAATTGGGACAACACCAGGATCATGGAACAGGAAAAGCAGAGACAAGCACAGGAATTCCGAGAAGCCTGGTACTCCACTAAGAAAGCCATCAATAAACACGTAGAGCTAGACCCCGTATACATTCCATTGCGAAGGATAACCGGAAGTGAGGTAATCCAGCTTAACGGACACCAGAATTTAAATGACAGGTGGGAAAATACAACAGCACTTCATCAGAGGTTGCACTGATGATGTTACCCAGCAGCGTAATAAAACGTCTGCAGAACAACGAACCAGCTTGGTGAGCCAACCGACCACAACATCCACAACCCGAGCTACAAATCTACTCTAAAACCTAATAGTCTATTGATAATACCCTACGCCATTGCCACCCTTGTGCCCTCCCTCTCGCTCTTTCTCTGTTTCACTATCGAAAATGCAGAACTTTAGGATTATGTGCATTAACTCTCCTGAAAAACATCCCAGAGTCACTGACTTGCAGGAATGCTCTGTCCATCATATGGAAACGATTAATGTCTAATCCATTTCTGAAAGATCAATCTTTGTCATTAAATGCAGATATAAACCTGAAAGTAACAGCTCAAAGTGTGACCGTCCTGTTCAATTAAAAAGGTAAACAAACATTTAATTTTGAAAATTGTGCAGAGTTCTCTGACACAAAGGGTCACTGTGGTAAAGATGTACCTGTGTTACACCTTGTTCTTCTGCTGTGGTTTCTAGAATTATCATAAAATGTTCATTGAATGCAAAATATTTGTCTTTGGACTGCTTTTTAAAATATTGGAGTGAATTACTGCATGGTCAAAGCATCATGGTTGTGTCATGCTAAAAATAATCACAAGTGTATTTTTCAGGGTTTACTTTAACAAGTTCTGCTCATTTTCACAAAAAAGAACTATCAGACATAAATGCAGTGTCTAAAGCTGCAAGTGTAAGCAAAAATGGTACAACATTTGTGCTTTTAAAATCGGAGATGTGATATTTGAGCTGAAAACAATTAATGAGCAAGGCACTTAATTTCTGAAATCTGAGGAGCACTAATCCTATTAGCAAATTCTCAGCTGTTCTTTGACTGCTCTCAAAGCACATTGAAAGAAAGCCGTCAATACAAATCATGTTCTCTGAACATCCTTGGCCTTTTTAAGACGGCCCATCCAAGCAAGACTCAATGTCTGGCATCTGCTTCAGTACAAAGCCCTTCTCCACTATCACATGGAGGTTTTGCTGACCAACTGCACATGATCAGCCAAAATTGCTTTTGTACACACCCATCTTCAAGCATGCTCCTTTCTGCATGTAAGCAAATCGAGCTTGGGTCAATTGCCTTTATTCCAAATCACATTGCCAGTAAAATTATTCAATGTTAGAATACACTGAACACAATGGAAAATGTGGTAGCTTTCTGACTTCTGTTTTTGTGCCCAGTGTTTAGCTGCTGTCATACATGCCTTATGTTCAGATTGTACTATATCTTTATTTTTTGTCATACATGCAAGTGGACTGTGATTTGTATCTTTTCATCCTGTGGACTTGACACAGTTGAACAGAATATCAGTCATGATCTGTTGTCTTATTTCTTTGTAGTCCTGAAGAAGAAGAGTCATCTTCATCCAGTGATGAAGATGATGAAGAAAGACGATTAAATGATGAACTAATTGGTAAAATTGTCTGTGTAGAGTGTGCAAATGGAGACAAAAGGAAGACCTCACGGTACCCAGCTCTGGTGAGTATTGAACTTTTGCTTTTAAGGCTGGAGCCAGTTTAAATATGGAGATTTGTAATGAGGAACATTGTAAACCACAGCAAAGTTTGTACCATGTTACTGTCACATGGTATAGAAACATGTAAAGGAACTTGATCTGTATTGTTCATGAGGGCTAGAATTTCATTAAATTAAACCAACTGGCTTAAAACTCTTAAATAAATTTCACTGGAAATACTGTTGAAAATAAGTTCAATCGAATGTAGTGATGTATTGGAAATGAACCAATATCTACGCTCCATTTCAGGTTATTTAGAGTAAAACACTTCTCTGTGATATTTATATGTGCAAGGTTATTGTCTTTTATTTGATGTTCTGTCAGTTCACATTATTTTCTTTCAAATGCAACTGGCAAAAAAAAAGCCTTTTTTTTTTAAGAGGTAATGAGGTGTAGAGCTCGATGAACACAGGAGCGTAGATATTGGTTCATTTCCAA